ATAATAATAATAATAATAATAATAATAATAATAATAATAATAATAGCAGCAAGAATGAAGACACTACGGAATCTCCAAAATGTCCATATTGTTCCTCTGATCATTTCGTGCATGGGGGGATTTAACAAAATAATATCAATAAAAACCTGACACCTTTAAATACACAAAAAAATCAAAATGATGCAAAAATCATAAACACAATTTGTTGTGCGAAAATTCCTAAATTGCGGCGACACATGAAACCTGTGTTTTGGTTATTAACCCGGCACAATGCCAAATAAAAATCCGACGAATACCGCGAAGAACAATGCGAAGAAAAGACAATGATTAATAATAATAATAATAATAATAATAATAATAATAATAATTTTTGGCTATAGACATGTCTTTACTTTAAAAAGACCAAATTCACACAAAGAATTGTGTAAAAACTGTCGCCAGTATCGGCAAAATTACAGAATTTTAAAATTGTACTACAACTGCGTCAGATATGCGATAACTTTGGTGATATTAAGTGAGGACACGAGCAGCATTTTTAATAAAACAAACCTAATTACTCCTTAATATCAGTGAATTGTAGTTTTATCACTAAACAGAAAGTGAATGAATAAATATTACTAACTTCGAGAGCACGCTAGGCACGAAGACCAGAAAATTTGTGGTAAACATGTAGTAAGAAATCTCATATAACGAAGTTACTCAATATTTTATTTAATAATGGCAGAAAATTCATATGCATTGCTGTTTGTCAGGTACTTTCCTAATGCAGTCCTACCAATGAAAGATGAATTACCTACTAATTAAAGACAAATGTATGTATAAGTGCGTTGTATGATATTTTCTATGAGATGTTCATCAGCAAAATTGACCATCTTTGACAACCTACACTTTTGTAACATTTATTCTGTGACACTTTAATAAATTCTATGTAGAAATATGAAGTCATTGAACATAATGCATGCAAAAATATAATACTTTGAACTTTTTTAAGTGTGATAAATGTAGTGTTCATAACGAATGGGCGAAACGTAAATTGCCACAATATAGTCATGAATATTTTTGAATGATAACATTAATACAGTAGATGTTATCATAAAACGTTGGTTGTCTATCTTCAGTCACAAATACAAAAGCAAAACCAAGCAAAGAGTACTCACCCGAGTTGAAGGAGTAGAGGACGGGCGCGTTGATGCCCACGTCCTGGTCGTAGGCCGCTATCTCCCGAGGCCGCACCCGCAGCCGCGCGCCCTACGACACGCGCGCCCTTTCAGACTACACTCCTGCTAATAATACCAACATTTACAACGTCCACTTGCCTTACAACAAAAAAGAAATCAACACCGCTTTCTCAGTTTGTATGGGAAACAGTCCATTGGATTTGGTTCATTCAGAGAGTGAAGTGTAACTATCGAATATCGCTGCTGAAACCAAGTGATGAAAAATTGCTGGATGTTGCTGCGCAAAATAAGGGAATATACGAATGGAATTGACATCAATCTGTTAACCTATTTTAAATAGACATTTCTTAAGAATTGTGTATTAAGTGAGTGGATAGTTATAAACACAAATAAAATATGTTCTAGACAGTTATTGAGATATCTTTACACATTCTCTGGGATTTGAAAGGATGTAAACAAAAGAAAAAAATGCTTTAAAAATCTTTATTTATTATTAATACTAATAATGTTATTACCATTAGGATTACTACTGCTTCTAAAATGGCGTATGAGCCGCGTACTAGCTTACTGTAGTGGGGTCCCGGGTTCCATTCCCTGTCGACCCAAAAATTGTTGTAGCTTTCCATTCAAATCGTCCCAGTTTCCTTAGCTGAATGGCGAAAAAATGCTACGGCAAACGGATCTTGCTAGTTGCGGTGAAGGGAATACGTCATGTTCGCCACATGCCGCTCTTACTCCCACGCATGGGAATGTTAATAGGCCCATTCATAGGGGACGTTAGTGTGTGCTGAGCATGTGTGTGCTGAGCGTGTGTGTGTACTGAGTGCATGAGTGTGCCGAGTGCGTGTATGTGATGAGTGTGTGATGAGTGAATGTGTGAGTGATGAATGCGTGTGTGCTGAGCATGTATGTGCTAAGCATGTGTGTGCTAATAATGTGTGTGCTGAGCGTGTGTGTGCTGAGTGCATGAGTGTGCCAAGTGCGTGTGTGATGAGTGTTTGTGACGAGTGTATGTGCGCTGAGTGCCATTGTGTGCTGAGCGCACGTGCGTTGACCGCGCGTGTGCCGTGTGTGCTGTGCGTGTGCGTGGGCGGGAGCTCACCTGCACGGGGGGCTCCGGCAGCAGCGCGGTGTAGCGCTCGTCGTAGAAGCGCGGGTTCTGGTCGTCGGCGTCCATCACGTTCACCTGCAGCGTCGTGTCCGAATGCTGCGGCGGCACGCCCTGGTCCTGCGCGCGGATCGTCAGCGTGAAGTTGCTCAGCTTCTCGTAGTCCAGCGGCTTGCGAAGCAGCAGCGTGCCCTCCAGCTCGTTCACGAACACGAAGTAGTCCTGGAGTCCATATGTTCCTTGTTAATACGGTTAACGTGATTTTGAAGCGGATAGCAGTGGGGCAGGAACAAAGGGTGAAAATCGGAAATTTTACACTAAAAAGATAATGAAATACGCGCATAAATTATAAGAAAATTGAATATGTGTTTGTTTCATTTCGCACTTTACTTCATCAGGAAGATATATATTTGACCACATTCAACACATCAATCTTTCTCGTTGCCTTCCCTTGATGGTTAATTGGTAAAAAAATGTGTGAATTGAATTATTTAATTGTTTGGAAATAACAATGCGTCCCTTCCCTCAGGGTCCAATGACAATACCTGTCCCAGCCCGCAGTTTCATTTCCTGGCACGCATTTGGATTGACACTGGTAGTGTTTTGCTGTCTTCATCATTGAACTTTTTAAATGCAAATTGTTTGAAAAAGAAATACGTTTGAAAAATATAGCGGATACACCAAAATTACGTAATCGTTTAGCTAAAGAACAACACGACTGTTAATCATCCCATGATACTGGTAAATGTAAAATAATAACATTCCTTCCTAAGCTCCACAAAAGAAATAATTAAAATAAGAGATTTCTGGGAGATATTTCGCTATGCTGGGAGATATTAGCTGTTGTAAGATCTTATAAAGAATTATAGTAGTTTCATTAGTATTTTGGCAAGTTTGTACCTATTAAATTGCAGATGAATGTTCGAGTTGTTTCTGTGACTTGAATTCAGATACGAATGATAGTCAAACATGTATTAACCATAGTTAATTATTTTCTTTCATTAACATTCTCTTTTTAATTAAAATTATGTTTCTCCTTACGACCAAACACGACACAAAATGATAAAAAAAATTAATCACATTGAACAAAGGAACACATTGCTAAAATTTCGATATGCGAAAGCATAATACACGAAGCTTTAACTAATAATTATTCATTCTACATTTTTTAAACACTGCTAACCTGAACCTGTATTTACAATGCAGGAATTAACAATGATTAAATAAAATTGTGATAAATTACAACATTGTACATTCGTTCACACTTACACTTTTACTTAATTTACACAAAACGATAGGTGACTTAAGAAATTGTTGCTGTAAACAATGGAGATGCATAGCATTATTTTGTTCAAACGCCTTTCACCCCGTGCAACAAAAGTGAAGTTAAAAATAGAAAATAAAAATGTCACGTAGTTCCCTTACGGAACAGTTGTAAAAGATCTAGGAGTCCTATTAGATACAAGATTAACATGGAAACCCCATTTACTCAGTTTATGAATTAAAGCTTACGCTAAAATTGCTAAACATAACCCTCTTATCAACTATACTATATATCCACTATATCACAACTCAATATCAAAAATATTCTATTATTATTATTATTATTATTATTATTTAAATCAATAATGCATGCCTGCTCTGTATGGCACAATGTCGCACCGATTAACATCAAATTATTACAAACAGTTCAAAACAAATGTTTACGTAAAATAATTACAGTACCTTGGATCATTAGCAATATACAAATACATCGTGAATTATTAATTGTTCCAATCATTGAATTTCTGTCAAAACTAAATTAATAATTTTATTCCGATCCCGGCAGACGTTCTGCCCTTCATCTCTCTTTGTCTCTTCGTCTCCCCTCTCTCCCTAATACTCAACCTCTCCCAGCAAAATGTAATAGAATGTTCAAAAATATATCATCCTATGGATTACAACGTGAGAATCGTTTGTTTGAAACATTGGATCTCAACATTTGTTTTTAATGCTCTACAACACTTCCTTTAGGAGTTATTTAAAGATATATATATATATTTTTTAAAAATCCTGCCAAGTGTGTTGCGGGTTACATTTGACATGAATATTTAATTCTATTCTACAGCGCCATATAGTGAATTTTCCCTATATTTTAATGGTCATTCTACTTTTCGGGGGCGGAGATGATTCTAAAAATCAGAGATAATTAAAATTGGCCCAGCTGTCCTTGTGTTATGAATGCTGTAACTAACCCCACTTTGTTTTATATGTAAGGTTGTGGTCTTTTTTCGCAATGGAAACATGGTTCCGTGAAAGAAGGAAATGGAGGCGCAGCCGAGCGTGTACCCACCGAGTGGGGGCCGGGCAGCACGGAGTAGTGTACTGTGGAGAAGGGCCCCTGCTGGTCGGCGTCGACGGCCTTCACGCCCTGCAGCACGCGCGTGCCCACCACCGTCACCTCGGAGATGGTGAGCACGTAGGGCGCGTTCAGGAACTGCGGCGCGTTGTCGTTGGCGTCCGTCACGCGGATGTTCACTGGGATCACGAAGCCCTGCGCACACCACACGCGCGTCAACGTAGTCCACTTGCACTCCCGTCAATACAGAATCTTCTTATCCCGAATCTTGGAGGGTTGGTTGTTAGTGATTCCGAGCGCGTCAACTAATGAGGTAATTAGTTCCGTAAGTGTGGTGTGTCTTTTTGTCCTCAGGAGGTGGAGATTATCTTCCCCGCTGGAAGGCGAGATCCGGCGCCTATCTGCCGTCGGCTAGCGGGGGTTTTCCCAACCTGGTATCTCCCACCAGCGGAGTGCCGCCCCAGCCGGGACGAGCACTAAGCTTCCGACCGGTCTCCCGGCATGGGTGTTAGTGTAGTGCATGTAAGTGTAAGTGAGCGAAAGTAAAGGGGTGGGAATAGCAAAAGGAAGAGGAAGGAAAGGTCCGTGGCCCGTTTGTTAGGGTACTGCTCCGGAATTCGCCTGGTGTTGGTTGAAGAGACAACGAAAAACTACCGATCACAGCAGTCGACCGCTAGAATTCTCCTCCAGACAGCGACAGAATTCGATATAGCTGACAAGCTGGTGTAGAAATTCTTGCCACTGGGATTCGAACCTAGAACTTCCCCGTCGGAGATATTGCAGTGTCATCCGATGATGCACTAAACCACCTCTCCCGGTGAATCTTGGAGGGGAAATGGTAAAGTATGAATTTTAAAATATTTTAATTTATCGAAATTTGACTTACGTACAGGGTCTTTTTGGGCACAGCGAAGGCGACTGAGAATAAATTAATTTCTGTTATCGAAGATTTGGAGTAATTGGGGTTCTACTTATCAAGGTTCCTCTGTAGTTGCTAGTCGTCATGAAAAAGGTGGAGGGTAATTTTTGATGAGGCTACATTCTTCAAATACCAATAAATGTATTACTGCACAATTTTTATCATCATCATAAGATATATGATAATAACATAATAATTATTATTATAATTAATGAGCAACATTCAATCCTTTTTGAGATGAGACCTTTTCTTCTCCAGTATACTCCTTATATAAATGGGAGAGATGAAGGAAGTAATTATCCACGTCATCATAGTTTCGATTGGTGGGGGAAATGGAAAAGGAGAAAAAGATAATTTCATGACGTCCAAGGCTTTGCTATCCATAGGTTCTCTAGGAGCATTCGCATGGAAACGGTACTTAGATTCACACCATGTGCTGTTGAAAGAAGCATGAATAAAAACACTAACGATTGCGAAGCAAGCGGAAAGAAAACTTGTATTTCTATTTTCTGAAAGGAACTAAACATTTTCGTGTAAATTAACACATCGGTTTATGAAAGGAATAGAAATTTTTCCACGCGCGTGCGTGACTACCGTATTCAGTAACACATAGTAAGCTATTTGCCATCCCTCCCTGGAGCATGCTACGAACACATTTACACCCACGGGAAAATTCCCACGCCTCGCACAGTCGTGAATCTCAAGCTCTCCCGCTTATCTCTAAGCATTTGAAAGCGTTATCTCTCCTAACCCGGAAAATACAACACACAAATTAATGTTCGGGATTATTCACACTAATATAATATTGTTCCTTTTAAATATAAAATCCATTGTCAGAAACCGGGTCAGTAACACAGATAAACGTTGGTAAAAAATGTCCATCACTTTTTATCAATGCTAAGAGTATTACTTTGATATACATATATTCTTCAGAAAGGTTGACATTGTTCTCATATAAATAATGTCATCTCAACCAACCTCGTCGGTGAAGATCTTATCATACTTCGTGAATTACATCAATGATACTAAACAGATAATCTTATTTTATCAAATATTCCTCTCTAAGCAAATAAAATCGAAAAAAAGACATTTAATACTTGAAACAATTACTCATAAAACTTACTCAATTCAAACATTACTCAATAAAATTACTCATAAAATTACTATTGTTTCCACTAGTAATAAAACATTCTTACGTTCATGTGGGCACAGTCTATTTTATTTCATAAAAATAAGAAAATACCTAGTAAATATTTCCTTTCTGAAAATAAAATTATTTAGACTAAATGGAAACCATCGTCAATAACTCAACGTTGTTCTAGTATGTGAGCGAGAAGATTTATATATTACATCTTTTTCATTTTTTTTCCATATCAAAAGATCCTTTTAGTCATCCATCGTTCATAATTGATCGTAAATTGATAAATTCAAATACAGAGTGTAATATTTGGCTTTTCAACCCTTCATTATCTTCATGGCAAATTTCAGTGTCATTAGTTTGGTGAAGGTTCTAATTTCTAATTATATCCAATCAAACAAAGATTTTTTAAGTGAATTCAGTGTAAGGAAATAAAAGGTGTCATAACATGAGACACTTTTTGTCAGCTTATTATTGTCATAGTTGTCACTCGGATTTCCTAAATGGAAGGAAAGTGTGCGACCGAAATGGCTGGCAAAGGTACATCGTACATCCCGAACATCCTCCAAGGTGTTCATGACATGACAGAACAGAGGAGAGACACACACAAGCACACAACGAGGAAAGAGCTGCAGAAAATTTGAAATGAAGGCTTTGGATTTACACATTTTTCCAAACTTATATATATATATATATATATATATATATATATATATATATATATATTTGTATGTATGTATGTATTTGAATTTGAAATTACATGAATGAATTATGTACTAAAAAAATATGAAAAATATTTTTTGGCTACTGGATTATTTTAAGAGTACAATTTTATTTTTGAAGGCAATAATATTCATGGTACATACGAGGAAACAGAAAGACCGGCAAACAATCACTATAGTACTATCTTTGAAGTGTAACACGTTTGCGACAACCAATATTTCTCTGAAAATGGTATTAAAGACCAATAAAAGTCACGTCATTGATTCTTTCTACACCTGAAGGTAATATCCTAGCACTCATACGCAATTGTCACAACATATATGGAATGCAGACTGAAGCTAAGACAAACCGACAGCGTGCGCTTCGTCACATCTTCCAGTGGTTACTTCGTGACGCAACTCTGAATTTGTATAACAAACAATATGCTGATTTTTTAATAAAAGCAATTTTTGAAGATTCAATTAATATTTTTACGAAACAAGTTTATATAAAATCTGTAGAATAATTTTAAAAAATGCAAAATATGCAAAATAGAATCAAATTTTGTAATAAAATACAAAATATTTACAAATATGTACCGGCAAATTTTACTAGGTTTGCATAGATCACAACTTTGAGAACTGAACATAGAAACTCAAAAATATATAGTTACAAAAGAATCCGGACTCTAGTTGATTGATTAGTGTGTTCTAGCGCGTTAACTGCTAAGGTCATTAGTCCTGCAAGTGTAGTGCCTGTTTTTATAGCTGGAGGTGGCGATGATCTTCCCCAGCTGGATTGTGAGATACCGAGTTGACGTACGTCGTCTTGTGGGGATTTTCTCATCCAGGTATCTCCTACAAGCATGACACCGACCAAACTGGTACAAGCTCTAAGCTCCAGACGCATCTCCAGGCACGTGTGGTAGTATAGTGGTGTAAATGAGTGTAAATAGGGGTGAGGGTAGGGCAAGGAACAGGAAGCAAAAATCGCGCGCGCGCCGTGATCCGTTAGGGTACTGCTCCAGCATTCGCCTGGTATTGATCGGAGAAACCTCGGAAACTACCGATCAAAGCAAACGGTAGCTAGAATTCTCATCCAGACAGCGGCTGAATTCGACCTTGCTATCTAGCCATTGTCGAAAACCCCTCCACCGTCGAGGTTCGAACCCTAGACTCCCCCAGTCAGAGTCACTGCAGTGCCATCAGCTGATTCCACGAGCCACCCACGTCAGCCCGGGCTCTGGTGGAGCTGCAGCGGACGCACGCGCGCGGGCGACTGACCGGGTCCGCGGTGCGGCGTCGGTCGCAGATGACGTTGATGTAGACGGAGGAGGGGCCCTCCACGCCCTCCTTGTCGAGGCGGCGCGTGAGCGAGATGTTCTTGGTGCCCGGCACGATGGCGGCCGGGGAGTCGCGCTCCTGCAGCCGCAGCGCGATGTTGCCGCGCTCCGACGGGTCCCCGATGATGCGCAGGGTGCCTGCAACAGCCACCCGGGCAAATAGACTCCCTTGCTACAGAGAGTGGCGCGATGTAATACCCTCTTAGCCGTTAGCTCCGCCAATCGGTATGCAGGAGCTGCCGGGAAATTATAACAATTGGTGACATGAAGGATATTTTCGTGAGTATTAATATTCATTTGGGATAGATTCGTGATTCTCAACTAACAGAAAACCACACAGTTCCAATTCTCCTGATAACTGGATATAAAATGGTGGAATCAGTAGAACAATGGAATACGCTACTCTCTATATCTAGGACTCTAGGGGCAAATAGTGACTAGTAAATAGTGACTTTTCTGACATTGTTGTTTCATTTCTATTCAATTTTCACATTCATTAACATTGTTGTTTGATTTCAATTTGTACATTATTTTTAATTCAGAATTTTTAATCGGAATTCATAGTAAATAATAGAGAATGTTTAATTCTTTAACCTCCCAATATGTACAAGAGATGAGGACTAGTGGTGCTGCAGAATGGCACAGACTTTTCCATATTAGTTTTATATTTCCTTTGGTCTCGGCTAGTTAATCCGAATAACTACATACTCTTGCCAAAATGGCGTTCAAACGCTATTGTAAATTGAATTTGAAGCTCTTTTTCACAAAAAGTTTGAGCATTAGAAATACTTCATTAGAAGTCAATTAAATCATTTTAACTCACAAACGCAATAGCGTTTACTAATTTGCTGGTAATGTGCATGTTACCGGCGTGAAAGATCTATCAAAAAATTACAACTGTGTAATTTTTTTTTAAATCCCAAAATGAACTTTACGTCATATTAAAGAGAGCCATTAGCACTATCCGTTACAAAACTTTGAAGAAAATATTGCAAGCCGTTTTTGAGAAAATGGCATTTGAACATTTCTGAAAATGCAGAATTTTGAGCTTGTGTTCACAGTAAACGGATGGATTTTTTAGAAACTTTATTTGACATTATTTAAAGAACACGTACTCGTAAATATAATAATGTGAAAAAACGTTGACATGAGAGATTTGTCAAAAATATTACAATTTTGTAAAGTGTAAAGAAAAAATTTGAAGGCATTTTTGAGAAAATCTTGTTTTTGTAATTTTTTTAAAATTGCACATATATCACGCAATATTGCGCGAAAACTACTAAAAGTGTCAAAGAATCTACATGACCTTCATAAAGGAACTAATTATTGACAACAAATTTTATGACGAAAAAATCTTTATCTTCAATTTTGTAGTTATAAGAAGACGCGGAAAAAATTCAAACTTTTGCAGTTTACGAAAATTTAGAATTAACAGTGAAAATCGTACCTGTGCCACATTTATAAGTGCATTTTAGTCTATTTTTTGAGAAAATTTTGAAAATATCCGGAGGGCTTCACGTAAAAGTACCCCCAAATAACGTGGTAAAATTATGTTCATAAACAGTAAATCAAAATCAAATAAAAATAAAAAATACATATTTAAATTATTATGTACAGCGAATCTACCCTAATAATGCCGTTAATGTATTTGTAAGTTGATTTTAGTACCACGATCTCATTTAATTGAAGAAGAAGAAGAAGAAGAAGAAGAAAAAGAAGAAGAAGAAGAAGAAGAAGATACGCTTATAGAACATATCATGCCATTACTGCTTCTTCATCAGTCGATAATTTTAGGAGATAAACATAAACAATGTACAATACAAAATAGACATATACAAAATTGGACGTATATTGAAATACATATATTAGCTGGACTTCTACCAAACTACATTTTCGGTACTTTCAAAGAAAGAAGCACAACAGTGTTAAATTCTGCCCTTTAAGGTCAAGCACAAGGAGGGTTTCGTTCGTTAACCTTTTTTGATAGCGACGGACTTCTTTTCAGAAGGATGGTGGAGCTAGTGACAAAGAAAGATAGGATTGTCAAAGAAATGATCGCCCTTGTTCTCATAACGAGATTTCGTAAAACAGTGTGACATAAAATGTTCATAAAACATAAATTAACTAGGTAAAATGCATAAGCTTTTAAATGAGCTTTTAATCCCCTCAGTAAGTGTTCTGAGGGCTTCGCATTCGGCATCAAACTTAACGCGCTTATCCCTTTATACTTTATTATCGTTTGATTTATGTAAATAAGAGAAAATGTAGTCGGGTTTGATTTAAGTAAATAACAGAAGAAATGAAATGGAAGCAAAAATCTCTAAAATTCGAAATACCGTTTACTCATAGTATCATCTTTCTCAATGGAATAATTATGCTAAAAAAGTGCATTTACGACAGCAGAGTGTCGCGCATGCGGCACAGACAGAACGCAGTTTTCCTTTAACGGTTCTCGAGCACGCAGACATTTGGCTCTTCTGTACATCTCATTTAAATTTCCGGCCTCTTGAAACGGTGGAAGATAACGGTAAGCACACTTGAGTTTTAGTTACGGGGTCATTCAGGGATAAAATTCCTCTCGCAGAGAAAACAGTTGCTGTGCAGTCAATTTGCATTTCTATCTGTTATTCTCTATGGACTGCAATATGACTTAACTTTCTTTCCTAGCTTGCTTTAATTTCCATATAACAATATGTTACATACGCTAC